AGAGAGGCCAGCAGCCCTCTGCCTCACCGAGCCAGGAGGGGGGTCTCCCCTGATCTCCAGCTTCTCTGCTGTCCCTGCAGATTGCCAATGTGCTCTACCTGGAGTCCCCTGCTGGCGTCGGCTTTTCCTACTCTGAGGACAAGAAGTACGCCACGAATGACACCGAGGCGAGTGACCCAGGCTGCTGGGAGGGACCTGCCTCCTGCCTGCTCCAGCCTGGGCGCTGGGGGTCCTGCCTTGCTGCCTGACCCCTTTGTCGTGCCTGCAGGTCGCTCACAACAACTATCTAGCGCTGAAGGAGTTCCTCCGGCTCTTCCCCGAGTACTCCAAGAATGATCTCTTCCTCACAGGGGAGAGCTATGGGGGAGTCTACATCCCCACGCTGGCAGAGTGGGTGATGCAGGACCCCAGCCTCAACCTGAAGGTGAGCGGTTGGGCTCTGCTGCTTGCCTGGACTGAGCTGGGGAGCAGAGGGCTTGGCATGGCCTTGCTGGGGCTCTTGAGTGGTACTGGGGTGGGAACTGGCCACACAGCCAGTGTGTGGGGCCCCCTCTGAGGCATAGGGCAGGTCTGGCCCTGCAGCCTTTCATCTTCTCCTGGGGTGCTGGCAGCAGCTGCTGGCGGACGTGTCCATCCCTGCCGAGTGGGACCAGGGGAGCGTTTTCAGGCACCCCTGACCCTTCCTCTTCCCTCCGTGGAGTAAACAGTGCCGCATGTGCTTCCTGCCTGCTGCTGTGGCTGCCCTGTGGGTAGCTGGAACACAACAGAGTTGTTTTCTTCTTACCTCGCAGGGAATCGCCGTGGGAAACGGCCTCTCCTCCTATGAGATCAACGACAACTCACTGGTTTACTTTGCCTATTACCATGGCCTTCTGGGGACTGAGTAAGAGGAGGCGGAGTGCTGCTGCTAGATGCACTGTCCCTGTGCAGGCGGGACAGGGCCATGGCCTCAATGGGGCCAGCTGGGTCGGTGACAAGGGGGACAAGGGAAGCTCCTGGCCTGACTTGGGCCAGTAGCCGGGCTGTGGAGATGGCCTCTTGTCCTGGGCAGCTCCCATGGGCACATTTGTTCATTGGGCTTACGGGACGTTGGGCAGAGCCACATGCTGTGCGGCCGCTGGGCAGGGAGCCTGCAGCACCGCTGTGGCCATGGCCGCTGGCTTTGTGTTGGTGTTGCCATCTGGACAGTGCAGTCCAATCCCCTGGTCTCTGCCCCTAGGCTGTGGAGGGACTTGCAGGCCTTCTGCTGCTCCCAAGGGAAGTGCAACTTCCACGACAACTCCAACTTGAACTGCACACTCAAGGTGAGGGGAGCTGGAGCCCCTAGCGTGTGCCCAGTGCCACTGTCTATGTGCAGCACCCACGCGCCTGGCTCTGGATGGGCCCACGGTCCCTCAAGCGTCCTGCTGAGTCCCTAAACCTTCTTGTGGCTCATTGCAGATGGAGGAGATGATTCAGATCGTAGAGGAGTCTGGCCTCAACATCTATAACCTCTATGCCCCATGTGATGGTGGTGTTCCTGGGAGCATGAGGTGAGAGTCGCCCTAGGGCAGATGGGTCTCCAGGCACTGGCTTGTAGCATGTGGGGTCCCTGCTAGCAGAGCAACGTGGTGGGCTGGGCAGAGCCCCTCTGGGACAGGTGAAGCCCAGCTGGCTGCTGTGGAGGACTCTGCTAGGGAGGACCCTGAGCCCTTTTTTCTCCAGACCTTTCAGCCTGTCCCTGTGCTTCTTCTGGCTGCAGGTATGAGGGTGACTATCTCATCACACACGACCTGGGCAACTCCTTCATCCAGATGCCAATGAGGTTCTCCTGGCGGCAGGTGAGCCCGGGTGTCCGTGCCACCAGGCTGCAAGCATCCTCTGCCTGGCCAGCAGTGCTGCCTGTGGGCAGGAGGGCGCAGAGAGTGGCTGCTGCGGTGGGGAAGCACCAGTTGCTGCTGCTGTGGCAAGGACTCTCCCAACTCTCTCCCAGAACCTGTTCCGGATGCCGGTAGCCCGAAAGAAGGTCCGGATGGACCCTCCCTGCACGAACTCCACAGCCCCCAGCATGTATCTGAACTCCCCAGAGGTGAGGAAGTCTCTCCACATCTCCCCCGACGCCGCAGAGTGGCAGGTGTGCAGGTGAGCGAGCTCCAGGCGGGGAGGGCCCGCCGCGAGCCTGAGCAGCTGTGTGACGCTGACGCTTCCTCCGCAGCTTCGAGGTGAACCGCAGCTACAAGCGCCTGTACATGCAGATGAACGACCAGTACCTCAAGCTGCTCGGAGCCACGGTGCGTGTGAGGGAACCCGCCGGGCCCTGGGGCCAGCTCTGCCAAACCAGCCTCCTGCCTGGCTGGGGCTGCCATCTTGCAAAATGCTCACCCTCCTCCTGTTCTGCAGAAATACCGGATCCTGGTGTACAATGGGGATGTGGACATGGCCTGCAACTTCCTCGGGGACGAGTGGTTTGTGGACTCCCTGTGCCAGAAGGTAAATGGGCAGGACAGGGCCTGGGCCAGGCCAGTCACCAGCTCTGGGCTGTGCAGTTGGCTGCACGCCGGGGTTGGCTGCCTGCCTCGGGCAGCCAGGGCACTGAGGGTGCTGCTGCTGGTCCCAGGTGCAGGTGGCTCGCCGGCCCTGGCTGTACACTGAAAGAGGTGAGAACCAGATCGGGGGCTTTGTGAAGGAGTTCACCAACATCGCCTTCCTCACCATCAAGGTAGGGCCGAGGGGCACCGGGGAGCCAGGGACAGGGCTGCTGGCTGCAGCACGGGTGGGCGAGTCAGACACCAGTGCCGTGGTCAGAGTGGCTCTGGCTGGGCTGCAGGCAGCCTGAGGCTGGTGGC